GTGTACGTGGCTGGCGCCTTAGCCGGTTGAGCTATAGGCGCTGAGCCAGGAATGGTATAATATTTTAATAGGCACATTTTATAATACCATAGGTGCTCAGTAATATTCAGATGAATGTAGTGAAAGCAATTGTTAAAACAACTTTTGAGTATTGTATTAAAAATTTCTGTAGGTTACTCTGCCAGCCTATAAGCAATTGTTCAACAGTTTTGGAAAACCTTATCACATAGATAATATGGATATATTTCTGTTCATGCCATTCCCTGCACAAAACCCTTCTAGTAAATCCCCTCTGCTTACAAGAAATAATTCTAAGCCTGTTTAGCAAGGCTTTCCAAACTTTTCACAATCTGGAGCCCAAACTGACTTTTCAGCTTTCTTTTCTTTTTCACACTCTTATCACAACATAAACACCTGTTTTTGTTATCATTGGTCTATTCTTCTGAAAAATGTTGCATTCTTCCTGGTGTGGAACTGTATGAAATGTCACCTTATCTCTGTAAGCCCTTTCCTGACCCAATAGGATGTGTGTTGCTACTTTTTAAATCTATATTGCTCTTGCACTTTTACACTGTTGTAGCTCTTAGAAAGCATATTCTGATCCTGTTCTGTGTGTCTAATATCTCTGCCAGAATGTATGCATCCTCTTGAGAGAGGGACTAGATATGCATTTCCCACCTACTTAGGGTGCCTGGAGTGTAATAAGCTCTGGAAACTTCTCATTTTAAATCTTAGCCAACTATTAACTCGTCTGAGCCTTCATTTCCTCAACTGCACAAATGAAGCTAGTAATGACATCCTTGTCAGATTCCTATGAAAAATAAATATGTATGTAAAATGTGTAGCATGGAGCCTGACAGTACAGTGTGTGTACTTTACTAGTTGCAGTTTATAATTATTAATCAGAATTGTATGCTAAAAGGAACAATTGGCTTTCTTTCATCATGAAAGCTTTCCAATAGGAGTGTTTGTTGCTACTTTTTAAATCTATATTTCTCTTGTATTACAAATTTAATAGAGTTTTCTCTTAAAATGCATATGCACTTTTTGGGCATGCTCTGTATGTGTATTTCAGCAACGTTAATCTGAATGATTGCGGGGGTCTTAATTACATTTTGCTGTGTTTCTTTGTTAACTCTATGACTTACTGTGAATTGGGTGGACTTTCTCCACTAGGTGGTCTTTTCCCTCCTGTGATTGTCTCTTCTGTGTACTAATTGGACACTTCTTTTCACTTTTTCTACAAAGAAACACAGTTACATGCTGTTCTTTCTGAGTGGGCCTAGTAATTAATGGGGATGTTCATTCCTCAGGGCTGCCCAGTTTTGCTGCTGTTGTGTTTTTTTATACCTCTCTTGTTTTTGTCTTTTTGGTTTCTTTTTTTCCTCTCTTGGTTATTACTTTGTGTTTACTTTTAAGCATTGAATGAGATGGAAGACATGGTCCAAGAAGATGGAGAGGTGGTGGCTGAGAGTGGAAACAACACTCCAGCTCACAGTCAGGCAATTGTTCCTGTGGATGTTGATGAGGAACAAGCAGGTAATCATGTGACCCTTCCATATTTGTCATTTTGAAAACATGAGCCTGGCCATAATGAAGAACGTGAAACACTGGTAACAATTGCTTCTCACCTTAAAGCTAATGACGTATCATACGCTGTTTATTTTTGAGGCCTGTAATACATTATTGGTATTCTTACTCTGTATGTGTCTCTCTCTCTGTTTGTATGTGTCTTAAGTTTGTTTCTTATTATTTGTAACTGCAGCAACAACTGCTTATTCTGTGTAACCACAGGTGTGTGTCCATGTGTATAGAAAAAGCACTCAAATTGTTGCTGGGAAAATAAATGAATGACTTGATGAAATAATCTGCTTGTACTCTCCCCGCATTTCAGAGAAGAGGAGGAGGAGCAGTGGAATGGTTGGCCTGGTCACTCAACAGACCGAGATTTATTTAGTTCCGGTCACTAGGTGATTTAAGGAAGGCTATAGAAGTCATAGACCCTTAAAAATTACACATAACCCTTTGTTTTACAGATGGAAAAACTAATACACTTTTAATTAAAAGTGACTGATTATGCGTGATACCACTCAGCTAGTGATGAGGGAACCAAATTGAGACTAAAAACTCAAGTTTTTCCACCCCTAATTTGTTTGAATGGCACATTGTCTTTGAATCGAAAATTCAAAGGGTACTTATTCAACAAATATTTACTGAGTGCCTACTCTATGCCAGGCATTGTACAGGTGACACAAATAAGATAGGCAAGGTTCCTCTGAGTTTAACATTGTATTGATGGAGCTAATATTAGTCCTTTGTCAGAGAGAACTGGGTCGTAAGAACTAAAGGTTTAAAAACTGCACTCCCAAGCAGATAAAGCCTTTTTTATATATAGATTCAACCAAAATGTAATATGCTCTAGTCTTCAAGAATGTATCTGCTACATCTAGTGAAATAGACCTATACTCAACAAATGCAGAGGGTTGCTTATAGACCCATATGTTTCTTAAGTTTGTCTTCGTTTGCTTTGGCTTGGCTCATATGTTTGTAAACTGGAACAATATGTAGCCTAGTTTTAAAATTATTGTTAAGTTTGTTCTTTTGATTAGTTTTAGAATTATTCATGTTACTTTTAAAAGTATTAAAGGTCCTACAAGGGGATACCATGTAAACTTTTTAATTTACCTTTAGAAATATATACAGTTGATTAGCATATTAATTATACTTAATGTTGATAGAATGCTTTAAAGTGCTTTCACAGTATCTTATCTGTGTATTCCATTGAAAAGAATGCTAAGAGAGACTACATGGCCAAAATGTATCTCTGTGATTCTTGATGTCTAGAAACAGTATTTTGTATGAAAATATTTCTCAGGGAAAAATGTAAGTGTTAGGCCTATGTTTTTTATTTTAGGTCCCAGTGGTCTTCAGCGTGTCGTAAAACCAACCCCAATTACTGTTCATGATTCAGAAAGTGATGATGAGGAAGACAGTCTAGAACTCCAAGAAGTCTGGATTCCTAAGAATGGTACTAGGCGTTACTCTGAACGTGAAGAAAAAAATGGAGAATCTGTGCAGTCCAGGGAATTGTCAGGTGAGAAATTGTCTTACTCTGATCTGTTAGAGTCACTATCAGAACTGACACACTTGGCCTTTGTTAATGTGTCCCTCTTGTACCTTGTGATATAGTTAACATATTCCTTATGGAATGTGATAGGAAGTAAGAAAGGCAATTGCTGAAGTGATCTAGGTAGTGCTGTAGTGTGTAAATGTAGCACAACAAAAATGTTGTGGAGTGAGGTCTCAGGGAAGGGAAGAAGTAAAGATTGTGAATCCACAGTGGAAGCTTTAGGTCGTCGTGGCATCAGATTGCCAGAAATTAGGAAGAGGTTTGTGCCTCGTGTAAAGGATCACTAAGTCAGTCAGCCAGAGCACTGAAGAAACAGCCATTCCCCAGTAGATAATTTGTCCAGTTGTGCTTAGGGACTGTGGTGGCTGGTTGGTTCTTGAAGGACTCCTAAAGTGTGTTTTGTAATCCTTTGTCTCCCTTTAGTTCTAGGCAACAGCCTCTGTCATTTGTCTCACCTAGAAACTAGAACTCTCTTAACTTTTAGGTTCATCCTTATTTCTTGTCTTTCTTTCCTGTTTGTTTCTCAGAACCATGTGCTTAACCACTTTTGGCAAAGGATGGAGTTTTTAAAAATTGTCCACTCATTTATCCTTGGGTACCTTTATTCATCAATGTTCGAATGTTAATTATACATTTAACACTGTATTTGAAATATGTATACACTTCTGTGTATGGGGTGTTCAGTTCCTTGACCTTGGAATAATTGATCATTGACTGATTATTCAATTTTAAATTTATTTTAATAAACTCAGCCTTATAGTGTGGTTGAAAGGAGCTGTTAAGCAAACTGAAATTTAGGAAAAGTAAGGTGACTAGCTGACTAACCTATTGTTTCCCAGAAAATTCAGTTTCTAAATTTAGCAAATAGATTTTCTGTCAGCCAGACAAAACTTTGTTTATTCCTTTATATATTCATTGAGCCTTACTGTGCCCCAGGTACTATGTTAGGTGCTGTGAGGGATACAGAGATGAATAAGTCATAGTCTCTTTCTCTTTATGGAACTTCTAGTCTAATTGAAAAGTCAGATCAAAAACATAGATAACAATATCACAGGGCATATACTACTGTGGCTTTGGGGTGGGGCTGCGGAAGAAATTGAACAGAGGTCCAAGGCTGACAACTTGGTGAGAACAAAGGGCTGAGGTGGTAAAGCAGGGTATATTGAAAGAAAAGCAGGGGATGGAGTGTAGAATGTTGTAGAGGGGATAAAATGGAAAGATATTTTGGAATCAGATCCCAGAGAGCCTTGAATGCTGAGCTAAGGAGTATAAACCAGGGTAGGCACTAGAAAGCCATAGAGAATTTTTGAGCAGCTCCATGATATGATCAGTTATGCTTTAGGAGAATTGGTGTACATTGTTTCCTGTTCCAAATTTACTCTTGCCTTTTGTCCATAATTTGTACTGAAATCTTTTCTTTTCCTCGGGCCGTTCTTCTTTTTCTATAAGCAGTAAGTGGAAAAGGCAAGACTCCACTTCGAAAGAGGTACAACTCCCATCAGATGGGCCAGTCGAAGCAGTTTCCTCTTGAGGAAAGCAGCTGTGAGAAAGGCTGTCAGGTCACCAGTGAGCAGATCAAAGCCGATATGAAAGCAGCTAGGGATATTCCTGAAAAGAAAAAAAACAAGGATGTTTATCCCAGCTGCAGCAGCACCACCGCCAGCACAGTGGGAAACTCCAGCTCACACAGCACTGCTTCTCAAAGCCCCGACTTTGTAAGGACGGTGAACAGCAGTGGCTCTTCCGAGCCTAGCCCTACAGAAGTGGATGTATCCAGGCAGTGTGTCTGCTCCCCCGATGGGTCAGAGGACTCTGAGGCCATGGAGGAGGGAGATGCAGAGAGTTCTGTCTGCCCCAGATGCTGCTGTCACAGGCCCCAGGAATCCCAAAGGAGAACTAGCAGGTGTTCTGATGAGGAACGTCCTTCAACCAGCCGAGCCTGTGTTGTGAATGGCCCGGATGGTACGAGATCCGCCTTTTCCTTTAGGACTCTGCCACAAGGGGGGTCTTCAGGCCCAGCACATGATGAGAGGACTAATGGGAGTGGCTCTGGGGCTACAGGTGAGGACAGGAGGGGGAGCTCCCAGCCTGAGAGTTGTGACGAGCAGTGTAATGAAGACTATCCTCGGAGGCCCCTAACCAGGGCCAGGAGCAGACTGTCCCATGTACCGCTGGTATCTGAGTCAGGTATGACAATGCTCCCAGGATTAGCAACTGTAGGGTAGGGCTGGAAAAAAGCATGAGCTTATTTCATGAGTTTTCTTATAAAAAGCAAATTAACAAATTCGGTTTGGGGGTTCTGTGGATCATACAGACTTCAAGCTAATTCTCAGCAATTATTTGGTG